GTCAGATTTTTGTTTGTCATATATTTGTTTTCTGGTTCTTAGTTGTCAGCTTGTTATTTGATTATATAAACAGATTATCTGTTGACCTGATTTGTGTTTGTGTCTTCGATCAAAGTTCTATATTGTTTCTGTGGTGTAGTATTTTGTTTCTAAGCCCATGTATCAAAAGATCGGGAGCATATTGTTTTTGTGCTTTCTGTTGCCAACTTTTACATTGCCCATTACACCAAAGAAGTAGGGCTTTCATTCTTGGCTTTTGTATTCCTTGTGACCTTTCTGGTGGTACCAAAATTTGTCACGAAGTCACATTGACCGTGACCTTTGACCTATATTTGAAAGAAAATTATCATAATCACAATGAAGACAAGTGTTTCACAAAGTGTGCAGCAGTAAGCACATTATTTACACGGTATTGATTTAATACCCAACTACTTTTTTCCCCAACCGGGAACATAGTGTTTCATAAACATGTTGTGTCTTAAATTTCTTTCTTTTTTACTTACTAACTGTCGTTCTGTCTTGTTTTCCAGTTTCTGGTATGACTCTATACTGGTTTTTGTTTCTGAATGGAACAGGAAATATGATATCAACGTCCGGATAACAGAGTGTCTCCTAAGAACAGGTAAAGGTCTATATGACAATCCGGGAAAACACTACGTTCTATGTCAATGGAAGTTGTATTTGCCACAAGCTTACAACCAAATTTACTATGCCATGAGCTCAGTATATTAACCTTTGTGTCTGTTCACAAACTTGCGCTTCAAATATGTTATAAATTATGCAAGCTACCCAAGAGGTTCTTCAAATACTTTCTTACATATTTTTACAGCGTATTGTCGTTACAGACAGCATAATTGGATGGTTACATATGCACCTGTTGATAATACCCTCTACCCCCTACCCTGTACATTTTTTATCCCTCCGCCCTACCCCCACCCTCTACTCCATTGCTTGTACATAACCATTGTGTTCATCTGTTGATGGATGCTAAACATTGCTTTATATGGATATGAGATTGGGATATCAACCGTTTCAAAGAAATAAATAAAAATTAAGACCGGCGGGTGGGGCCACGCCCCAGGTACAATTCTTACATCAGGATGGTATTTATCTCTTGATGCTAATCATTGCTTTATATTGTTAAGAGGTGGGTATCTCAACTGTTTCAATGATATAGTCCATTCCTCATACTATACCCCTCTCCTCCTGCCCTTGGAGGGCACCATTTATACAAAATTGATTTCCCTTTACCCAAACATAACTCAGACCAATTTTGGACAAAATTTAAAAGTTCCTACAGGAGGAGTATACTTTTTATGGCTCTGTTGCCCTTATTGGACTCGCCCCTTTCACCCCAGGAGGCTCAGACCTACCGCTTTCCGACCAGTTGAGCTAAAAATCAGATAAATAACAGATTTTATGATATTTTATTATCAAATGATATATACATACGTTACTCTTTAATCATATTAACAAATCTATAAACTATTTTTATGCTATCATATTGACAAGGATATATACTAATTGTTTCTGTGATATCATATTGACAAGGATATATACTAATTGTTTCTGTGATATCATATTGACAAGGATATATACTAATTGTTTCTGTGATATCATATTGACAAGGATATATACTAATTGTTTCTGTGATATCATATTGACAAGGATATATACTAATTGTTTCTGTGATATCATATTGACAAGGATATATACTAATTGTTTCTGTGATATCATATTGACAAGGATATATACTAATTGTTTCTGTGATATCATATTGACAAGGATATATACTAATTGTTTCTGTGATATCATATTGACAAGGATATATACTAATTGTTTCTGTGATATCATATTGACAAGGATATATACTAATTGTTTCTGTGATATCATATTGACAAGGATATATACTAATTGTTTCTGTGATATCATATTGACAAGGATATATACTAATTGTTTCTGTGATATCATATTGACAAGGATATATACTAATTGTTTCTGTGATATCATATTGACAAGGATATATACTAATTGTTTCTGTGATATCATATTGACAAGGATATATACTAATTGTTTCTGTGATATCATATTGACAAGGATATATACTAATTGTTTCTGTGATATCATATTGACAAGGATATATACTAATTGTTTCTGTGATATCATATTGACAAGGATATATACTAATTGTTTCTGTGATATCATATTGACAAGGATATATACTAATTGTTTCTGTGATATCATATTGACAAGGATATATACTAATTGTTTCTGTGATATCATATTGACAAGGATATATACTAATTGTTTCTGTGATATCATATTGACAAGGATATATACTAATTGTTTCTGTGATATCATATTGACAAGGATATATACTAATTGTTTCTGTGATATCATATTGACAAGGATATATACTAATTGTTTCTGTGATATCATATTGACAAGGATATATACTAATTGTTTCTGTGATATCATTGACAAGGATATATACTAATTGTTTCTGTGATATCATATTGACAAGGATATATACTAATTGTTTCTGTGATATCATATTGACAAGGATATATACTAATTGTTTCTGTGATATCATATTGACAAGGATATATACTAATTGTTTCTGTGATATCATATTGACAAGGATATATACTAATTGTTTCTGTGATATCATATTGACAAGGATATATACTAATTGTTTCTGTGATATCATATTGACAAGGATATATACTAATTGTTTCTGTGATATCATATTGACAAGGATATATACTAATTGTTTCTGTGATATCATATTGACAAGGATATATACTAATTGTTTCTGTGATATCATATCGTACTATATTGGGATTGTTAGAAATTGTCCCTTTATGTGCAATATTGTATTGGTATACTGTTAGGGATTGTCCCTTTCTATATAATACTGTATTGGTGCCCTGTTAGGGATTGTCCCTTTCTATATAATATTGTATTGGTGTCCTGTTAGGGATTGTCCCTTTCGTGAAATATTGTATTGGTGCCCTGTTAGGGATTGTCCCTTTCTATATAATATTGTATTGGTGCCCTGTTAAGGATTGTCCCTTTCTATATAATATTGTATTTGTGTCCTGTTAGGGATTGTCCCTTTCTATATAATATTGTATTGGTGTCCTGTTAGGGATATCCTTTTCGATGTTCTGATGTTGGGGGAAGTCCCTATCAATGGCATTTTGTTATAGCGTCTATGTCACATTGTTTGGTTTTTCAGTTGAAGGAAGTTCTGATCTTTGTAATATTGTTTCTGTGTTCGATTGAGGCAGTCCGATTTATTCAATATTGTTTTGGTACACGGTTGGGGGAAAATCCCGATCTATGTCATGTTGTTTTGGTGTACGGTTGTGTGAAGTCCCGATCTATGTCATGTTGTTTTGGTGTACGGTTTGGGGAAGTTCCGATCTATGTCATATTGTTTTGGTATACGGATGGGGGAAGTCCCGATTTATGTCATATTTCATATTGTTTTGGTGCATTGTTTGGGGAAGTCCGATCTATACAATATAGGTTTGGTGTACGGATCGGGGAAGTCCCGATCTATGTCATATTTCATATTGGTTTGTGTACGGTTTGGGGAAGTCCCGATCTACGCCATATTGTTTTGGTGCACGGTTGGGGAAGTCCCGATCTATGTCATATTGTTTTGGTGTACGGTTTGGGGAAGTCCGATCTATACAATATTGGTTTTGTGCACGGATAGGGGAAGTCCCAATCTATGTCACATTTCATATTGCTTTGGTGCACGAATGGGGGAAGTCGTTTTCATTTCATGTTGGTGTCTTGTTGTGAGAAGTCCTTTCTCGTCTAATTGTTACGTTGTCCAGTGTCGAAAAGTACCTTTCTGTGACATATTGTGTTGATGTCCTTTTGCGAGAAGTACCTTTCTGTGACATATTGTGTTGATGTCCTTTTGCGAGAAGTACCTTTCTGTGACATATTGTGTTGATGTCCTTTTGCGAGAAGTACCTTTCTGTGACATATTGTGTTGATGTCCTTTTGCGAGAAGTACCTTTCTGTGACATATTGTGTTGATGTCCTTTTGCGAGAAGTACCTTTCTGTGACATATTGTGTTGATGTCCTTTTGCGAGAAGTACCTTTCTGTGACATATTGTGTTGATGTCCTTTTGCGAGAAGTACCTTTCTGTGACATATTGTGTTGGTGTCCTTTTGCGAGAAGTACCTTTCTGTGACATATTGTGTTGATGTCCTTTTGCGAGAAGTACCTTTCTGTGACATATTGTGTTGGTGTCCTTTTGCGATAAATACCTTTCTGTGACATATTGTGTTGATGTCCTTTTGCGAGAAGTACCTTTCTGTGACATATTGTGTTGGTGTCCTTTTGCGAGAAGTACCTTTCTGTGGCATATTGTTGCGGTGTCCTGTTGTGAGAAATACTTTTCTTTGTCTAATTGTTGGGTCGTCCTGTTGTGTGAAGTTATTTCCTTTATCTTGTCCTGTTGCCAGAATTACACATATATATATATATATCGTACTGTTGTGGTGTCTTGTTTATGTTGCATACGTATAATGCTAGAGGATTCTAAATAAGTAGTTGATGTTATGATGTGGTCTAAGGGAGGCTACTCCTCTATAACTGCGTGTTCCGCACTTTAACACTAAACCTTTAATTTTATTAAAAGATATAATTTAATATGAAATCATTCAGCTTGAAACGTATATTTATAAATTCTTAATAAAATCCTCTCAACGGCTGCAGACCAGCAAATAATTTGGCAAGATTATGTTCTTCAACTAATTTCTCTGTATCATTTCCTTTCGACAACTTGTCGAGGTTATTTTAATCAAGTTGTTAGTCCTTATTTATTTTCTTCGCTGTCGGGAATATCTCATCACAGTAATTTGTTTATATAACTACATCTCAGTACTTTGTTTCTATAACTACATCTCAGTAATTTGTTTTTATAACTACCTCTCAGTAATTTGTTTCTATAAATTTGTTCAGATTACCTCCTCAAAGTAATTTGTCCAGATTACCTCCTCCCAGTAATTTGTCCAGATTACCTCCTCCCAGTAATTTATCAAGATTACCTTCTCCCAGTATATTGTCCAGATTACCTCCTCCCAGTAATTTATCAAGATTACCTCTTCCCAGTAATTTGTCCAGATTACCTCCTCCCGGTAATTTATCAAGATTACCTCCTCCCAGTAATTTGTCCAGATTACCTCCTCCCAGTAATTTATCAAGATTACCTCCTCCAAGTAATTTGTCCAGATTATCTCCTTCCAGTAATTTGTCCAGATTACCTCCTCCAAGTAATTTGTCCAGATTATCTCCTCCCAGTAATTTGTCCAGATTACCTCCTCCCAGTAATTTGTCTGGATAAACTCCTCCCAGTAATTTGTCTGGATAACCTCCTCCCAATAATTTGTCAAGATTACCTCCTCCCAGTAATTCATTAAGATTACCTCCTCCCAGTGATTTGTCCAGATTACCTCCTCCCAGTAATTTGTCCAGATTACCTCCTCCCGGTAGTTTATCAAGATTACCTCCTCCCAGACACTACACATATTCAAAATACTAATCTGGCTGACTATCTTAATAGCTACAGTATACCTAGGCTAACAAAAAACGAATCAGATAATCTCAAAGGAGAAATTACATTCAAGGAGGCAGGCAATACTTTAAAATCTATGAAAAACAACAAGAGTCCCGGCTCCGACGGATTTACAACTGAATTTTTCAAATGCTTTTGGGGGAAACTGGGAGATTTTGTAGTTCGATCAATTAATTTTGGATATCGTACTGGACAGCTCTCTATTACACAGCGGCTGGGGATAATAACTTGTATCCCTAAACCAGATAAACCCAGGCATTATATAAAAAAACTGGAGGCCCATTTCTCTTCTGAATAATGTATACAAAATAGCCTCAGACTCAATTGCAAACAGGATAAAAAAAGTTTTAAATAAATTAATTGATAATGATCAAACTGGTTTTCTTTCAGGTCGGTATATAGGAATAAATACAAGAATAATATATGATTTGATGCATTATACTGAAGAGAATGATATTCCAGGCATGCTACTTATAATTGATTTTGAAAAAGCGTTTGATTCTGTGTCTTGGGTATTCATTGAAAAAGTTCTACGTCTTTATGGATTTGGTATTAGTATCATTAATTGGTTCAAAACACTACATAATAATGTCCAGTCAACCATTAATCAAGGGGGGAATCTATCATCCTTTTTTGACATTAAGAGAGGTTGCCGACAGGGGGACCCAATCGCACCATACCTATTTCTTCTTTGTGTTGAAATTCTGGCTACTAAATTAAGAAACAATAAAAATATAAAAGGCATCAGTGTTCAAACCATCCCTATTTTGTTGTCACAGTACGCAGATGATACATCCCTAATTCTTGACGGATCAGAAAAATCTTTGAGAGAATCAATTCTTGAACTTAAGGAATTTGCTAAAATTTCTGGTTTAAAGATAAATGTTGATAAAACTCAAGTGGTATGGATTGGGAGCAAAAAATATAGCACAGATAGTTTACCAGAACTCAACTTACAGTGGGGTAGAGAAAGATTTGTTTTGTTAGGAATAGAATTTAGTGTGAACCTGCATGAAATCCCAAAGTTAAATTTTGATAAAAAGCTCATTAAACTAAAATCCTTAATAAAAATATGGAATAGGAGATCATTTACACCTATTGGAAGAATTAGTATTATTAAATCACTTCTTATATCTCAATTTAATCATCTTTTTATCTCTTTACCTAACCCTGAAGATAAATTTCTCAAGAAACTTAACTCAGTTCTCTATGATTATCTTTGGAATGGGAAGCCAGATAAGATAAAAAGGGAGGTAATCACTTAAAATTACACCAGTGGTGGATTAAAAATGGTTAACCTCACTGCTTATACAAGCATTAAAACTCACCTGGATTAGGAGACTTTACCAAAAAACAGAGAAATGGCAAGCAATGCTAATGTCATATATTGATACAGATCTTCTTGCTGTTAGTGGTACTGAATATATAAAGCTTTGTATAAACAAGTGTAAAAATAAATTTTGACAGGATGTTCTAAATGCCTGGTATAAAGTGCAGTTAAAATATAATATTAAAGCCTTTCAGGAAAACTTAATTAAAGTTCCAATTTGGTATAATAGTAAAATTCTTGTTGGAGGTAAAGCACTATTCCTTAAAAAATGGTATAAAAGTAACATAATAATCATAAAAGATTTGATGAAAAACTCAGAAACTGGCACATTTTACCCATTTGATGAATTTATTCAGAAATATAGAATAAACACTAATTTTCTAGAGTATCATGGTCTGGTCTCAGCTATAAAAAATATATCTCCTCATACGATACGCATAAAGTATTTAATATAACTTACCCATACATACCAATTAACTTACAGATTTTCTTCAGAGATAAAAAAAGGTTCAAAATTATTTTATAATCTTTTAAATAAATCAGAATTGATTCCAACAGGCACCAAAAAATGGAACTCACTGTTAGACGATATTGACCACTCATCATGGACTAGGTATCATAGAATCCCATTCCAGGTGACAAACAGTGCAAAACTGCAATGGTTTCAGTACAGTGTAACCCATTACATCTTGGTAACCAATTCTTTACTTTTCAAACTAGGACTAGTTATCTCCCCTCTATGTGTTTTCTGTAATACTGAAACTGAGACAATTACCCATGTTCTATGGGAGTGCCAGGAAGTTCAAAACTAACTTCAGTGCTTTAAAACATTATTAGAAGCTTTATTAATCCCTTTCTCTGTAAACAAAAAATCGTTTATTTTTGGCTTTCTCTTTCAGAACTCTCTTCCCAGTAATCGTGTTGACAATGAAATTGTCATAATCATAAAACAGTACATTTATATAATGAGATGCTTTCAAAACTCTCTAAATATAAATGTTCTTATAAATATAATTAAAGAAAACTATTTAATCCAGAAATATATTGTAAAAGGTAAAGAGGACAAAGAAAAACAAAAATTTGATAACGAATGGAAAAAATGGGAGAAATTACTTAACCTGTAGTCTTTCAAATTCCACAATTCAGTTTTAAATTTTTACTACTCATGATCTCTTGATGCCCCTGTCTTATCCGAATATTTTAGAAGCACATATAAGTAGTTTCTAATAAGTAGTTTTTGCAATTGTACAACAAAAATATCATCATTTCTTGTCTTCAACATTCTACCTTCTCTCTCTCTCTCTCTCTCTCTCTCTCTCTCCCCCCCCCCCCCTCTCTCTCTCTCTCTCTCTCTCTCTCTCTCTCTCTCTCTCTCTCTCTCTCTCTCTCTCTCCCCTAATGTGTGTGTGTGCATGCGTGGTTGATGGTGAGTGTGTGTGTGGGTGTATGTGTAAATAATCAAAATATAATATTGAAAGTGTATATATGATGATGATGAGGATGACAATAATCAATGTTTGATGATGATGATGATGATGTGATGATGATGATGATGATGATGATGATGATGATGATGATGACGATTGATCAAGCAGATGACGATGAAGTGACAATGATGATAATGTGATGATGATTGATGATGATGATGATGATGATGTGATGATATTTATGACGATGAAGATGATGCTGCTGATGATGATGATCATGATTTTGACATCACCAGGTTTCACGATGATGATGGATGGTATTGATCTGTGTGATTGTGTGGGTATATGCCATTGTGTGTTTTTTGTAATGTCATTCATGTTGAAAAATGTGCAAAAAAATAAAAATTAAAAAAAAAAAAAAAAAAAGATTACCTCCTCCCAGTAATTTGTCTGGATAACCCCCTCCCAGTAATTTATCCGGATTAATTCCGCCCAGCAATTTATTGTGTTTTTATATTTTACTCCCAGTAATTAGTCCGGAGTTACTTGTCTACATCATCTCCTCCCAGTAATTAGTCCGGAGTTACTTGTCTACATCATCTCCTCCCAGTAATTAGTCCGGAGTTACTTGTCTACATCATCTCCTCCCAGTAATTAGTCCGGAGTTACTTGTCTACATTATCTCCTCCCAGTAATTAATCCGGAGTTACTTGTCTACATCATCTCCTCCCAATAATTAGTCCGGAGTTACTTGTCTACATCATCTCCTCCCAGTAATTAGTCCGGAGTTACTTGTCTACATCATCTCCTCCCAGTAATTAGTCCGGAGTTACTTGTCTACATCATCTCCTCCCAGTAATTAGTCCGGAGTTACTTGTCTACATCATCTCCTCCCAGTAATTAGTCCGCAGTTACTTGTCTACATTATCTCCTCCCAGTAATTAGTCCGGAGTTACTTGTCTACATTATCTCCTCCCAGTAATTAGTCCGGAGTTACTTGTCTACATTATCTCCTCCCAGTAATTAGTCCGGAGTTACTTGTCTACATTATCTCCTCCCAGTAATTAGTCCGGAGTTACTTGTCTACATTATCTCCTCCCAGTAATTAGTCCGGAGTTACTTGTCTAGATTATCTCCTCTAATTTATCAATGCTGTTGGTTTCATCACAGTCATTTGTCTTCATAACTTCGTTCCAGTAATTTGTCATTATTGTTTCGTATTAGTAATTTGCAACTGTGACTATCAGTAATTTTCAGATGTCTTTCTCCCAGTAATTTGTCTTTAAGATTTCGTCCCAGTAATTTTCTTATGTTTTCCTTCCAGTAATTTGCCCGTCCGTTTTCTTCCCGGTAATTTGTCCTTTACATTCGACCCCATAATTTGTTCTTACGCCTTCCTCCCAGTAATTTGTCCTTTACATTCGACCCCATAATTTGTTCTTACGCCTTCCTCCCAGTAATTTGTCCTTAAGATTTTAAGTAGTTTGTTTCTTTGACTTGCTTTCAGTATACTGATAACTTCCTCACAGTAATTACTTATTTGAGAACTTGGCTTTTGTTAATCTAATTGACAAATATTGACATGACGTGTGCCGTCGATGAAGCAGAAGTTTTTTTAACTTAACGCGCTTTTCAGAATATCGTGTCTTAGTCTCCTTGTCCTATTTGTCCTTTTTAACGAGTGTGAATCGAGATTGTGTTCACATAGACCGATATAATCCCTCATCATCAGAGCGATTAGAAACAAGGGGAGCAACTCTAGTAGTTATTGACATCATACCAGTGCTATTTACCTTGCCTTTGTTACAGATATCTACATAGCCTTCACGTAACAGACAAATTACATTCATCTACGTGCACTACGATGACTGCAAGATGACCAGCACATGAAAGAAAAGTTTACCTCTTCTACCGACGTTTCAAAACTGTAATTCCTTGATTGTGTGTTTGTTTTTAAACTTACAATATGGTAATTGTTTTTATAAAAAAATATATAATTTTAAATATAAACCTGCTTGTACTAAATTTCAGTGTTGGCGTTGTATTTTACACATGTGTTTGAATTTCCTCTGTCTAATTATCTATAATATACGTAACCTGTTGGGCTATCCCGAAGTTTTTTGACATGATCAGCGACTTTCATGTATTTCATATATTAAAATCTCGATTCGATGTCTTAAGAATTCGTGGAGGTAAATCGCATGTCAGCGGTTGTCAACGAAATGAAAGGCAGTATTGAAAAGAGATTGCCGCCATGTTAAAGTTTATGGTCCCGCCCTTACTACAAAGAAGAGTCCCGTGTATTTACTACTGTCAATAGCAACATTCTATCGTCCATCACGATCGCATTGTAATAAGACGGTTGTAGATATTCTTAATATAATAAAACAAAATTTGTTTCATGAGAAATCAGTTCCCCAGCATACCTTTTGCTTTCAGAAGAATTCCAAATCTGATAATGCGTCAGTGCGGGACTGAATTATGTTGAAAAGAAACGTGACATTTCTAAACTTGGTATTACACTTACAAATTAGTCAGTGAAACATGTTCTTTCTATGAATTTGTTACAAACAATCTTAATCACAATATATAGAAACATTTATTGTTTATTGTTTCATTTTGGTATAGTTTAACAAGTCAATGATATTAATTGTAATATACCAATAATTATCACAATTCGTGAAAAAAAATCCGCTACGTAATTATGCAATCCTTTGAACAGGTATACATTTGACAATGTCAAGATGCTACAATTTGAGACACTCTGCTGTAACCAGTAGTATATATGTAAGGAATGGTCACCTTTAAACATTACAAGTTGTACATATCAGAGAGTGGATGCTGGCTGATTTCTGCACTATGTGTAATGTGTGAACTCACTGTGTTAGAATATGGTCCTCAGTAATATATTCTTAAATAATGACTGCTCCCTACGTTCAAAATGTACCTCCTATATTGTATACAGTAAGAGAGTCCCCATTTACTCAGTATTATAAACAAGCATAGTGTCCCCATTACCTCGGGTACTGCATACAGATAGAGAATTCCCCAGTTATCCAGTATTATAAACAAGTATAGTGTCCCCATTACCTCAATATTATATACATTTAGAGAGTCTACCATTTACTCAGTATTGAATACTTTTATAGAATCCCACATTAACTCAGTATTATATACAGATAGCGAGGAACCAATTAACTCAGTATTATATACAGATAGCGAGGAACCAATTAACTCAGTATTATATACAGATAGCGAGGAACCAATTAACTCAGTATTCTATACAGATAGCGAGGAACCAATTAACTCAGTATTATATACAGATAGCGAGGAACCAATTAACTCAGTATTATATACAGATAGCGAGGAACCAATTAACTCAGTATTCTATACAGATAGCGAGGAACCAATTAACTCAGTATTATATACAGATAGCGAGGAACCAATTAACTCAGTATTATATACAGATAGCGAGGAACCAATTAACTCAGTATTCTATACAGATAGCGAGGAACCAATTAACTCAGTATTATATACAGATAGCGAGGAACCAATTTACTCAGTATTATATACAGATAGCGAGGAACCAATTAACTCAGTATTATATACAGATAGCGAGGAACCAATTAACCCAGTATTATATACAGATAGCGAGGAACCAATTAACTCAGTATTATATACAGATAGCGAGGAACCAATTAACTCAGTATTATATACAGATAGCGAGGAACCAATTAACTCAGTATTATATACAGATAGCGAGGAACCAATTAACTCAGTATTATATACAGATAGCGAGGAACCAATTAACTCAGTATTCTATACAGATAGCGAGGAACCAATTTACTCAGTATTATATACAGATAGCGAGGAACCAATTTACTCAGTATTATATACAGATAGCGAGGAACCAATTAACTCAGTATTATATACAGATAGCGAGGAACCAATTAACTCAGTATTATATACAGATAGCGAGGAACCAATTAACTCAGTATTCTATACAGATAGCGAGGAACCAATTAACTCAGTATTCTATACAGATAGCGAGGAACCAATTTACTCAGTATTGTATACAATAAGAGAGTCTTCAATTAACTCAGTATTGTATACAATAAGAGAGTCTTCAATTAACTCAGTATTGTATACTATAAGAGAGTCCTCAATTAACTCAGT